TTATCTCTAAATAAACCAAGAGGAACAGTCAGTGAGTTAACACTGGCCCTAAGAGCCCTAAAAATACGGTTTTACGTTGACGTATGACATTTCTCTTGAGAGAAATGAATTCTCTCGAGTTTGAAAATAGCCTCCCGGATAAATAAAAGTGTTTTTGTCACAGACGTCATTTGGTTTTTGTTCTTTTGTTATTTATTTAAATATGTCTCCTCCAACAAAAGGAAGTAAAAAAATTAATAAGTGTTATTTGTGATGAAATAACAATGATAAATACTTGTGCCAGTAGTCTCATATTTTCATCTTTATATTTCAATAAACATAACAGTATCCAGTGGTCATCAACATCGCTCTCGTGAAGAGTTATTTCAGTGCCCTGTATTTCAAATGTAATTTCTTTCATAGTAAATAGAGTTTTCTTTGGTAAATACAAAAATGCCCAACCCAAATATACAAAATAAACCATATAACCCGTAACCACAGAAAAATGTATCTAATTTAATATCTTTACAATACTTTGCGCATGCTCGATATGTTTAAATGTGGACCTTACTGACCTTACCACACACCTTACCACTAAAAACATCATGGTTAGTAGTAGTTACGTATTTTGGTAACGTATGACGTCATGGAAGTAACCAAACCGTTTAAAGAATTGCTTTGGTTACATAAGTATGTTCTAGTAAGTTATGGTAAGCTTATAAAGAAATGCCTCGTTAGATGTAGCTACATATGCTTTGGTAACATGTAACCAAAGCAGAGTAACCAAACGTTATAAAGAAATGCTCTGGTTACAGAAGTATGTTCTGGTAAGCTTATAAAGAAATGCCTTTTATAAGTTTGTAACACTCAAAATTTGCTCAAACACAAATTAAATTCAAATTTAATTACACAAATGACACTAAAAATATAACCTATAAAATTTGACAATTTGCACTCACAGTAATGGCGGACCGGTCCCACTTTTCGCTTACGCATGTCGTATCCCTAGGTTGCCAGATCAATGAACCAAACGTACACTTTGTTTATTTATATTGGTGACTGTTGTATTCAGTTGTTTTCATTTCCAATTTGCTTAATTGATTTAGTTGGCCACTGTTAATAAGCTTGTTTTTCCATTATAAATTTGTGCTTTTTCCGCTGTTATTTTGTGGTTTTTCATAAAGATGCGTAATTATAGAAAATGTGTACCGAATTGCCTTGTTGTGGACAACAAGATGCATCGCCTGCCTCACCCTACGAATTCACCCGATTTATTTGATATTTGTGCACTTGCTGATCGTTGTCCAAGATTTAATAATAAAACGACTACAAATTTATTCCACCTTTGTAGTATGTCATAAACATTTTGAAGAGAAGTATAAAGTAGTTGGCTCTCGTCGAGGTCTAACACCTGAAGCATTTCCAACGCTATTCCTACCAGCAGTTCCTGGAAGAGTAGCGGTTTCCTCAAATAACGTAGAAATTGAATATGTTGATCAAACACCTTCTACTTCAAGTAAAGGTTCGAAGTAGAAGCAGACTAATAATATATGTTGGACTTCTTTTCGAGAAGGAAAGTTAGTAATCTACTCATTTATTTTATACTTATACTGTGTATTTTCTGTTTCATGACATTTGGGGTTGCAAAGCTGTATCGTAGAAGAAGAAGCAGACTAATAATATATGTTGGACTTCTTTTCGAGAAGGAAAGTTAGTACTTATTTATTTTATACTTATTGCTGTGTTTGAGAATCCACATCAGATGCATTTTTTACATCTCGAGCGTTTTTTTATCCACATACCTATATATAAAACGTTTATTTAGTCAAAAAAACTATTTTTTACATGTCAATACATCTTCACATTTAAAATATAAAAAATACATAAATATAGAATCAACATACATTTAAAATGCAATAAAAAATACATAAGATACAGTACACTTACATGTCAACTATACAAAACAATAAAAGAACAAGAAAGAGAAAAAAAAACGTCAATAGGTGAACAGGTATCCATGCAGTTTTATTTTAAATATTGCCACATTTGAAGAACATTTAATATCCTCAGGCAAATTATTAAAAGCCTGTACACCTTTAAAAAACACTGAATTTTGTGTACATTTTTCTTGTTACCTGTTTAGGTTCATGAACATCCTGATTATAACTTAAAATATTTTGTAAATATACTCTGGAGATTCCTGATTTAATTTTAAATATAAAAAGCAGGGAATAGAATAGCAAATATTTTTTAACAGTCAACCACTGAAGCACATTCAACATGGAATTGATTGGATCCAATCTCGAACAGCTCAGTATTATCCTCAGACCTCTATTCTGCAACTTTTGCAATCATTGCAACTCATTCTGGTTGAGCAAATACAGTATAGTGCCACAATAATTAAAATAAGGTAATATTAAGAGTATTATAAATTATTATTTTAGTCCATTTGCCGAGATGTGGAGAACAGCGCCTCAAATAGTTTATTTTAAATCGGACACATCTGTCCCATTACATTTACGTAAACTGAATCACGTGATCAAAGATTTACTACATCTCAGTTGCATCCGATGTGGATTCTTAAACGCTGCATATACTGTGAAATTTGTGTTTCATGACGTTTGGGGTTGCAAAGCTGTATCGTAGATGTTGGACTTATTAAAAAATAAAGTATTCCTCGGACTTATAATTTTTTATTAATACATTTATTTTAATGAGATTGTACTTATACTGTCTTTCTTTTTTCACAGCTAAAGTTCTTCACACAATGATGGACAGTGTTGTATCCTGGAATATGTAGCAGCCATCCAGCTACTTCATACATAATACAATTTTCATATACATTACATTTTTTAAATATTGGATTTGTATTATATATATTCTTTAATAAATTTATTTTTTGAATATTCTTGTTTTTTTATCTAAAAACTGTTAGCCAAATTAAGATTTGTTCACACAAACTGCATTTTTGCTTTATTATAGCGATATTCGCTATAATAAAGCAAAAATGCAATTTGTGTGAACAAATCTTAATTTGGCTAACAGTTTTTAATGCCGATAATTTTTACTGTCAAATTTGAATAGCCCCGCGCTTTTCTTCTCTTCTTCTTTTTATTATTTTCTCTTCTTTCATATGGCCTCTTACCAGACAAGGACTTAATTGAAAAAAAATCAACCACGTCCACCAGGTGCCGCTAAAAACTCTATCATCCTTTTTTAACATGGGAGTTACCGTTCTAAGAGTAAGTGTTCTGTGACCAGGTTAACCAAGGTGACATACGGAACACACGGACGATGTGGATTCTCAAACGCGGCAACTGTAATACCGTTGTATGAATATAGTAGGATCAATGAACTGGAGTGGGGTAGAATGCTTGTCAATAGGCTTAAGATGCGACTCTATGGGCGAAGACAGGTTATTTTTTGTCTCACTCGGGAGTTTTATAACGACCATTTTCTATTTCACTTTGTTATTGTCTGATCCACCAGCCTGTGGATTGAACAATAACAATGTGAAACAGAAAATGGTTATTATAAATACTCCCGAGTGAGATGAGAAATAAAAATGGCTGCGCCCATAGAGTCGCATCTTGTTCAATTGATAAAATATGCACATTAGCTTTCTACCCCACTCCAGTTCATTGAGTAGGATAATGCAACAGTAAAAAGTGTTGGATGCAATCTCGAGCGGCATCTAGTGACGATTTAATGAAGTAGTCAATTTTTAAGCTATGCAGATACGCCATCTACGTCTTCTTTTCGTTCAGGCACATGGCCTCTATCACCTACCTATTATAGTTAAAAACATCTCTATTTATTTAAAAATAACAATTCATGATAAAAGACATGAAAAATTAAACATAATAATGAAAATTTATTCCAGTTGACAAAACCGTACGAATAAAATTTTTGGATTAAGGTGATAAAAAGTGGTTAAGGACTTTGGTCAATATTTTGGTTATGTGCGGTTATGTCAAAATATATAAACAATAACAAAGAATACCTAATAACAACTTATAACAATGTCCAATGTTTTAAATAAATTGAAAAGTTCCAAGTAGAAAACAAAAAGGGGTCCGGTAAAGGATCCTGAGGTGCGAAATTGACAAAAATATTTTTAACACTCAAAAGTAACTAGTTTCTATAGTAAATTTTTGAAAAAAAATTTATGGATGAAGCAGTATTTTTCGAAAAAAATTGAATTAAAAATCCCAATTTTACAGGTTATAATCACAAAACAATTACTCTAAATGACAGTTTCTGACTTAAAAATAACAAACGTTGCCAAGTTGTTAATAAAATTATAAGTTTAAGGATTATTTAAATTTATAATCACAAATTTTTCGTTTGGTTTAAAAAGATAAGTACGGTAATAATCGTAAATAAAATGCAAAAATTAATATATCAACCAAATTAATTTTAAAAATGCAGTTCAAAAAAACTACATACAAAATTAAAAAGTGAATTTAATTAAATCACTCAACATGTAATACCTAGACAACTTTTTTTTTAAATTTTCTTTCACTCAAAACGAAACAACGACTTCCGCTAGCGTGGCGGCTTCGCCGCCACCAAAAAATTTTAATCTATACCTGGCTACGCCTACCGGCATAGATTCCAACGGCCTGGACACAGCTCAAATTGAAATGAAAAGTCTCACATAACACATTATATTTTCACCTATAAATTATTTTCTTCTCATTCAAACAGAAATCTTAAACTTGGAAATTATCAGTGATAAAAATCAACAATATAGTATGGCAACGTTGCAAACTCGAGGACCTTATGTGTCAAGAACTGACAATTTCATGAATCACTTTATTTTAGGTTTTATGGAAGGAAATGATGAAAAGTTAGGTTAAATCAGTCAAAATATTGCATTTTATTATAATATAAATAAAAATAGCAAATGAAACGTATTATTCCATATTTAATTTCAGTTAAAATATTATAAAAAGTAAGTTACTTCAATATATTAATGCTAAAATTATGAAATTCGCACCTCAGGATCCTTTACCAGAACCTAAATCTGGCCCTCTAGATGTATATAGAAAAAAAGCATCTTTTGACTGGAGAAAATTAAAAATTTTTTTGAACACTGAAGAGGTTATTCAATATGAGGTAAGAATTTTAAAATATTTGTATAAAAGTGTACAAAATTTCTTGTTAGATTGACCCTTGAACCCTGAGAACAAAATGGTTTAATTTAATGTGCAAACTACATTTATTATAACAGATTTCAGAGTGAATTAAATATTTCATTAGTTATATCAATCATTTCAGGAAAAACCACAATTACTTGCTTATTTATTTAGGTCGGTATCTACATAATAATAAACAGTCTTTATTTGCACAAAATACATTTTTTTGTACAATTAAGGTGCGTTTAGTCAGCCTGATTTAGTTTTAAGCATTAACATAGACATTAACATAAACATTAATTTAAGGATTTTAAAACAAAACCGTTTATACAGAAAATTTAAGCATTAACATAAGATTTGACAAATCATACAAAATGGAAAAAAGGCGTATGGGAGCTGCTTCTGAAATTGCTCTGCTAACTATCTCACAATTACTATTAATAAAAGTGCAGAAAAAGAGTTTAGAAGTTCAAAATTTAAAAGTTAGAAAAATAGCTTAACCTCACTTTTTGAACGCACATGCGCAATTGTATTTTCGACATAAATTTAAGCATTAAGTTATTGTTAAACATAGTTTTAAAAATGACATTTGTTTTTGAATATAACTAGTTAAAAATAAAACTCTTGTTAGTTAAAATATGTTTAGAATATTTTTTGTACATACAATGTATTTTGTAATAATTAAAAATCATAATATTCTTGTAAGGAAGTTGGAATGCTTAGGGTTTGATCAGTCGCTGTTGAGATTATTTTCATCTTACCTAAATCATCGTTTTTATTATGTCTTTTACAACGGATTTTCATCTTCACCCCTCTCAGCAACATCTGGAGTTCCACAGAGCTCCAATCTGGGACCACTATTATTTAGTATATTTATAAATGACTTGGCAATAAATTTAACCTGCTGTTCGCTGCTGACTTAAAAATATTTACCTCAATCTCATCAATTCAAGACTGGTACTTTTTACAGACCCAACTTGGGAATCGTTGAAAATTGGTGTAATGAAAACAAGCTGAATGAATGTGTCTAAATGTGAAGTATGTTCCTGTACTAGAAGTATTATATATCTATAAGTTATTGTAGCTTTGACAATAAACATATATTGATTGATTAACAAGGTGGAGTTTGATTATTTATTTAACAGCCTACATTTATCGGACTTGTGCACAAATTGAAGATTAAGGTATATTATTCAACCAAAAAGTTACTTTTTCGGATTATATTGAAAATACAGTTGCTTCTGCGTTGAAAAGCTTAGGGTTCTTAATTCGTAATACTCGTTCTTTTACAAACTCTTAAAGCTTGGAGATCCTTTACTTTTCTTTAGTTCGTTCCAGGCTAGAATATGCATCTCTTATCTGGAACCTTATTTACAATATTCATAAAAGATCATTGGAAAATGTTCAGCGGCGATCTCTCAAGTACCTTTCTTTTAAAATAGATGAGCTGTATCCCATTCGAGGTATTGAAGAATCTCTGCTTCTTTCGAAAATAGAAGGGTAGTTTGCAGTGTTACATTTTTTTATAAAATATTACATAACACTATTGATGTACTATTTTTGATAAATTAAATAAATTTTAATGTTCCCCAAACAGCCATTAGATATCATAAAACATTTTATACAGCAAGTATTTGAACGAACTTGGGAAGAAATTCACCTATACGGCTAATGTGCTCAAATTTTAATTAATTTTGTTCTGATTGGGATATTTATTTCGACCATTAGTTGTACTAATTTGTAGCTAATGTATTTAGGATTCTTTCTTTTATTTTTTTCTTGCTGTTGCTAAAATTATTTTCTGTCGAAATATTATGTTTAACATTTATTTCATGTATTTTGTTCTGTAAATGGATTAATTTGTTGGGCAATAAAATTATTTTTATTTTATTAAGCAAAAAAATGTTTATTTTGATGCACCTACCACCTTTAAAAGTTTGTCAGTATATTAACGAGAAATCCTATATAATTCCCAAAGAAAAATATTTTTGGAATAAATTCCGAATTCTATTTATTGATATTTGTTATTTTTTAGGTTCAGTGACTCGAAACATGATGATCAGCTACACCAAGAATATCCTTGATACTTTAAAAAAATGGTACGATATTAAGCAGATTTGATGCTATGTCACATTGTGGTGCGAAGACGTGGCTTGTATAAATTTGGGGTATCAGTTGATTGAAAACAGTACGCAAAAATAAATTTAAATCTGCAGATGCATCAGAGATAGCCATATTCCATACCACAATATGTCATGCGTGAACTCGATGAGATTTTATCGGCTAAGTATCATTCCTCTGTAATGTTTTGTATCATTAGGAACACGCAATATTGTAAACAATTATGACCAGGGTTTTCTGACCTTTTCCCTAGGTCAGAGAGAATAAATGAATACTAAATAATGTATAGTAATAAAGATTGAAAATATATATACTTTTAAGAGTTTTATTATGTCAGCCATAGTTTTATACCAAAAATGAAAATAAACTGAAATTATACATTAAAAATACATTCATAAATAACTATATTTATAACACTCATCGACTCTCTCCTGGCTAAAATATGACTTATCTATCTATTAGGCTCTGTTCCGTCTATTTTTTGCCTTTAGCCTCCTTCTGACACTTCCATTCGTTCTTATTCAGTGTAGTATTCACATAGTTTTCAGAATATCAAGTGTTATACCTATCTGATGCTTGGTCCTGCAAAGTTCATCTTCAGTACACCTGCTTATGTGACATCTATCTCGATGTCAAGTTTGATTGAACACCCGTTTCTTGCCTATTACTCTTATACTTAACCAGAACTAGCTTAGACTTGAACGCATATGTCTAATTCGGCCAAAACACAGCCTTGGTACACAAATATCTATTTTACCGCTGGTTTCATTACAAAAAACTGGAGTAAAGGGTAAAATTATCTCTTGTCCAGTACACTCGTATAATACACTTGAGTATTGCCTATATTATTTTTGATTGAAGACGTATACATTTAAAAATGTCGTTTACTTAAAAATAAACATTTAATTTTGATATTTTGTTTAACTCGATCAAAACATTAAATTATTATTTTCCATGGCTTATACCGGACCTGTATGTACTCTAGTAGCCATGGAGTAGCTGACAGTGTTGCCGTCAGTTGCCGCCACATATTCATTAGTGACATACGTTTTATAAATTCATCGTGTTAGAAATTTGTTGACATAAAGAGATAGAAATTTAAAGTGACGTCTTTTATTACTTCGAATGAAAAAAATCGATAATGCAATTTTCTAACCTAAAAAAAATCGTGATGACATGTCAAACAAAATTGAACTTGGCCTTAAGTTGGATTTTATTTATCTTCACTAAATTTATGTTAATGTTTATGCTTATGTTATTCTGTATAAACAGGTACACTGAAATGTATTGAAATTAACTTTTATGTTAATGTCTATGTTAATGCTTAAAACTAAATCAGGCTGACTAAACGCACCTTTAGAAAGAAAGAAATTTATTAAATAGGTAATCCTAATATACATACAATTTATAAATGCTGTTTAACAGCTCTTGAATACATTTTAATATTAATTACTTATAGATATAATATAAAATAATAAGATAAAATAAAAATTTACAGACAAAAATATAAAAATTTAAAAGAAAGATTAATCAGAGGTGTGTTCATGACATACTTTGTTGGATATGGTTTAGTAACATTTTTTTAAACCTAATGTTATTTGCAGTTTTTATCTTGCATGGAAGGGTATTAAAGGCAATTAAACCATTATGAAAAATTATGTTCATAGTGCCACTGTAATTTGTTTTAATTACATAAAAGTCAGTAACTGTTCCTGTTGGATAATTATGAACTTGGTGATTAAATGTAATAAATTCATCAAAGTATTTGGGGGTATTTCCGGATATAATTTTATATATAAATAACATAGAACATAAAAATAGTCTATCCTTCACCGATAACTAATTTAATGGGGAAAGCATTGTATTAATAGGTGTATACCTATTACATTTCAATATAATTTCCATCCCTCTATTTTGCAATTTTTGGAGTGCCTTTTGACAGTTAAAATCTAATAATCCTAATAAGCTCCAGCAGTTAATCAAAATGAGGTTGAATGATTGTTTTATAAACATTATGTGAAGTCGAGTGTGAAGTCTTAAATGTAAGATGACAATATTTCATTTAGACTTACAATCGAAGTATCATCAATTTCAGGAAAATATATTTATTCTGGCAACTTTTTTCATGAATTTAACTGATATTTCGTTCTCATTTCTGTCTAGAATAAAAGCTATAAAATGCTGAAAATTATTTTTTCCTTGTAGTTTAACAATAACATAGTCATTGGCTTTAACCAAAATAAAACTGCTACTTCCATTACTTGATGTAATCTTTATATCTAGCGTAGATGATCCATTCTTCTCCTTGAAAGATTTGTCCATACCTAAAGAATTGTCTTCAGAATCTTCTTCTGAATAAACCTCAGAATAATGTATTTGCCTTTTCCGGTAAAGGCATGAGCCTTTTGGAGCTAATTTGTAAGTTAAGGACAATAGTGATGCCAATAATTAACACGCAAAGCTCATAAAGTGATATTCTAAGCTACCTTTTCACTAAAAATTATATCTAAAATAAAAAGGATACTTCAAGGTCATCAAGAGGATAAGTAAAATCCATGTTTCCGATTCCATAATGATCACAGGTGGCAGTTGCACAATCAAGGCATGTCAAGCTTCTTGCCTGAATAACATGGTTCTTTGTTATTGTCCAAGCAAGTTCCCTGATACCCAGTGTTCCAGTAAAAGGTTTAATGGTACTTAATACCAGTTTAGCCATATATTCAATTTGACAACGAGATATTGGGAATAATTGTACTTTCAATTTGCTTTGATTCAGCTCTGCTAATAGTGTTCAAAAGTCAGATACATCTTTGCATTAAGTCACTCAGCTGTTAAGCACCTGTTTAATGGTGGCCCCAACACTATTAGCAGCCCCCTTTCCATGTCCGGACTCACTGTAGTGCCACTTTAGTTCTTAGACTCCAAGCATTTTTGTTAGATATGTTACCATTAAAAAAAACATCTTCCTGTTTTTGTACTGAGTGGTCGGGCCATCACTGAGAAAATGAGCTGTTTGTAAGTTTGGAATTAGTTTACGTACTTCGTCAGCTATTGGATTAAAATGTGCACATATTGCAGCTGGATCATGCCTCAGGTTTTCAGAAATGGTGCAGAATGATTTGTTTACCGATTTCGAATACTCATTAACTTTGTAATACACTACAACTGTATGAAGTGAAATTTGGGGTTTTGATCCCCCGAAATGAGCCGACTGGATTTCTGTTGCATATTTACAGGTACAGTTTTCACTGAAGTCCATATGTACGAAGACATCAGTAAGTGAAAGGTTTTTTTTAACTTGAGCGGTACACCTGTATTGGTGATTTAATATTCGTTGTATCAATTAGGAATTTTGGGAAAGTCAATGTTCGTTTTTATTGAACTGTATAGTTTTCTTTACAGTTTTTTGGCATATTTTAGCTTTTCCTTTGATTATTACTTCCACTTTATCAATGACCCATTTATTGTATTCTGTCAACTCTTCCCTGTTATATTTCAAAAACTTTGTTTCTTTGTTTAAGCAGTTTTTTTTTCTTAATCAAGAGCAGCAAATTGTCGTGTTGCACACATGAACGTTTCCCTAAATTTTGCATTTGGTGTGAGAACCCAAAACGGCCCCAGTCTGCAAAAAGTTTTGTATTGAATTTTAATTCTTGGGTGTGCTACAACAAATTTCTGGTGAATGTTTGCTATGGTATCATTAAGGTACTGTTTTTTAATTTTTTTAAATGTCCCGTGTCTTTTTTTTTTCGTGACACAACCTGCTAATTTCATTTCTTTCAAAAAAGATTGAACAACATTTTTTATATAACTAAGCATTTGTTTTCTTTTATTTGAAACATGAGTATTCTTTGCAACCAAATGACGAGAACTAACAGTACTAATTATATTATGTTTCATTAGATATTTTTCTACAATATTTCCGGTAATAGAATCAACATAATTTCTTTTTGCCTGCGTTTGTTTATGTTTCTGAAAGTTCTTTTTAATTTCATCTTTCAAAACTTCATAATAATAATAATAATAATAAACGTCTTTATTATACCAGCAAAACAACATTTACAAAGTATAAATGGCGTAGTCTAGCCAAATGGCCATTCAACTTAACCATATCACAAATCCTAAAACTAACTTAAACCTAACCTACTCTACATTACGCTGAATGTCTACGGATGAATTCAAATTTAAATTAAGAACAAGAATTAAATAAAACAAATAAAATAGAATATGAATTAAATATTTTCATTTGCTTGGCTACCAAGAAAATATGATTTTAACATTATTTTAAATGAACTAGTACTCAAATATGATTTTAAGTGTGTATTTAATGAATTGTATACTTTAGCGACATTATAGCTAAATGACCGTTGAAACATGGCAGTTCTATGTCGTGGCATGGCGATAGTATCAAATAACAAATTTCTTTTTACTTCTAGTGACACAGTTTGCCCTCTGATCATATCACTAACTCTTTTATTTGGAGTATTCGGGGCCCTTTTTTTCATTCTGTGTATCGTCTGGCGATAGCTTTCATTTCTTTTTTTGGCTTTTTCAATTGCTCTCTCATTAGTTCTATTTCTTTTTTTAATAATCTTTTTCTTTCAGTATGTTTTCCTTTAGTAGATTGCCTGAACGGGCCAGGCAAATTATTATCAATTCCGTTTTCTGCAGGTACTGGACTTGGAGGTGGTGTGTTTTCTTCTACATGCCTTGTCATTTCTCTGTGAAACTATAATTTAGTTTTTGGAGGAGTATATTAATGTCAATGATTTCAAAAGCTATTTTAAAGACTAAAAATACAATATATTTGTTTTCATTAACTATTAACTTCCGCTTACTCAATTACCATAGTGATATTCTTACATATTATTATTATTGATATTTTTTATTTTTTGTCCCATGATGTGAAAAATTCAAAAAACAACACATTCGCAACGGCCCCGTAAAATAATAAGTATTACACCTAGGTACGAGATGGGACAATTATGCCCCATAGTAGACTTCCTTTTGGTACAGTACGGGATATGTATGTCCCGTATATTACATAACAATATATTTTTAATTTTGTTTTCTCAGAAAGAACGTACTTTTACTTATTTCTTTGTATGTGACTTCATAAAGAAATAGAAGGTACGTGAAGTTGGTACCGCCAAATGCAATTTTTTTATAAAAATAAGATGGCACTCGTTTGTCCACGATTTGTTCACGATTATCTAACATTTTTGTTTGTTCAACCTTAAAAAAAAGTTATAATAATTAAAATTTGAGCCAAATTTCAGATCAGCACCGCCATAAAAACTTTTTGATAATTTAAAAGTGGCATTCCATTGTCCATGAACAATTTTAATTTGTCGACCTCCTTAAACCGAGATACTTAAAAAATAAAAAAATTAAAAATAATACACATGCTCTTCAGACATAACATTAACACATTTCATGCGAACTAAATATGACAATAGTTTGTCTTCACATTATTTTCCAGGCCTTATTTTCGTTTGTCCATCCAACAGAAATAAGTTATACAAATAAAATACTTAAAATATTAACAATTTGTTAAGTCTTCACTTATTTAATATAAATTTAAATTATCATCCAGTATATAACGTAATATGTCATATATATTTATTATTCCCAATATTATACTTTGCCAAGACGGTATTGCCCTAATGAGTAAACGGCCATATCCGCGGTGGCGAAGAACGAGTAAAAATTCGACCGACCGGGCAGAAATCAGTATCGCCTCGAGTGTCGTAAAATACAGATCTGTTTAAGCTTGCGATTATTAGATACAAAACCGGTAATTCTACATTCCCGTCAAATACCAGCCCCTAATATACAGTCCACGACCCCTGCAGCATAGGGTGGACGCGCCCAGGAAAGAAGTAAGCATCAGGAAGCCGGGAAACTTAAAGGTAGGACCTGACTGGCAAGGCTTTAATTTTCTTTTGCGCGTTACATAGGTACTCTAGCTTAACCATAACCTAATCATTGGTCTTCGATCTCGGATTTTACTGGATGAATAATTATAATTTAATAATTTTGGGATAATTATTATTGATATATCTTGGGATTTAATAATTTTATTTAACACAAAATTATTCTCTTTTCTCGAAGAAATTTATTTAATTAATTCGAAATAAAAGTTTTTTGTGCTCTATTCTTATCTATTCAAATCAATTTTTTGCTCATACAGGTGATAAAGTGGATTTAACAGTTGCCGTTGCTCAGGTCGAATTTGGTTCACTTTATTTGCTATCTCACTCATATTTATAAAAAATTTAAAGGTAAATTTTTCCTTTAAAAAACTCAGTTGATTTGACTCGTTTATTTAATTATTTGTGTGTTTCGGGAATTGTACTTATTTACCTCTCTCTTTTTCTCTCTCATCTCGTTATTAATAAAATACCGGCGGCAATTACAGATTGTCCCAGTTTTGACTTTTATTTCTCTTTGCTCGTGATTTACATTTGACAAAGTACACATAAAATAAATAATTTTGAACAAAAGAAAAATATAATTTCGCTCTTAAATATAAAATTGTTGTCTTTTTTTCTCTTTTTTCTCTGGGCCTATTGGACTTTTATTAGACAAATAACTTTAGATAAATCATTAGTTATTAAATTATATTATATTAAGTTATATATTATATTAAGTATTCATATTTTTTACAATAAAAAATAGAAATGGCCGAGAAAAGTAAGAGAAAACAGAACGAAGCATTAAGGCAAGTAGCTATCGATCGAATGTTAGATATTTACACAATGTCACAAAAGGCGCTCTCAGATGCTACTTATTTTAGTGCATTCAAAATGCGATATACAAAATTGGACGAAGTTTATTATGATTTTAATACTTGGCAAAACAATATTTTGCAATCAGTCGCACTCGATGAAGCCGAAGATCCTAATGTGCAACGGGATGTCGGTTCAGAAGTAGATAGTAAATATTTTGCAATAAAAGAGGTTTACTACGATTTATTCGAAAGGACGGCTCAGTCTACTCAACCTCCAGTGCAAAAGAATCAAACGAATATTAAACTCCCTAAATTAAATGTACCAGTATTTTCAGGTGACTTTAAAATGTGGCCTACATTCATAGATCTTTTTAAATCGCTAATACATAGTAACCCCACCATTTCTAAAGTTGAAAAATTTAGATATTTACAATCATCTCTGGTGGGTGAGGCTTTAACTCTAATAAAAAATATAAAGGTTACCGAAACAAATTATGATATTGCTTTTGATAAACTAGTAAAAACTTTTCAAAATGAACGAGCTCTTGCAACATTCTATTGGGAAGAAATTCATAATTTCCCCAAACTTAACTCTGAATCTCCAAAACAGTTAAAACAAATGTTAGCTGTGTTTTCTGATAATTTGGAAGCTCTTAAAAATTTGAATCTACCTGTAGATCAATGGAATTTTTTAGCATTTCATACTTTGAGTAAAAAATTAGACTCAGAGACACTACATCGTTTTGAGCAAAAGCATGCCTCATCAGGAATGCCCCAATATAATGAGTTGTATAATTTTCTCGAAAAAGAATGTCAGGCGTATGATTCGGTTGCTTTAGTACAACCCCTTAAAACATATTCTACTTTCTCTAAACCCCAGGTTCGCTCTGAACATAAAAAAAAGCTCTTCCTTTGTTACAAACATTAATGAAAATAAATGTAATTTGTGTAATGCAGCTCACTCCATTTATAAATGTACTCTTTTTTTGTCCCAAACCCCAAAAGAGAGATATGACATATGCAAACAATCCCGCTGGTGTACTCATTGTTTAGGTAACAAGCATATGGCGAAAAATTGTAACTCTAATAGCTTTTGTAGAGTATGCCAAAACAAAAACCATCATACATTGCTACATTTTGATGATCCTGGTGTTTCGGCTGCTGCAACAATTGCCAGTCCATCCTCTTTTCAGGGTGAATCACCTACCCCTAATCCTCAAACTCTCACAACCCTCTCTGCAGTCTCCTCTACCTCTACTGTTTTACTATCAACTGCTCTAGTCGATTGTCTTGACTCTAGGGGACACTTTCAATGCATAAGAGTGCTACTTGATAGTGGAAGCCAATCCTCCTTTGTCACTGAGAAATGTGCTAATCGATTAGGTTTACCTCGTAGCAAAGTTAATTTGACTGTTACTGGAATAGGTAATCTAAGTACATTCTCTTCTAGTTTAGTATCATGCTCTATTATACCTTTAGCTCAGGCTACGCCTATTTTACAGGTCGACGCCATAACCCTTACCCGC